GGCTGTGTAGCTGTTGTGTAAGCCGCGGGCTTTGAAGCCGGATGGAGTGGCGAGCACAGTTCTCTCCGCAGCGAGTGCAGCGGCTGCGGGCAGACCTGTGTGGGTGCTGGAGCGGGAGGTGGGCGGCAGGGTTTCGGCTGCCTGGTAAGGTGTTTGCTTCCTCCTGCCTGGAGGAAACTCAGTCCTGGGAGGAAGCAGGAGGGGAGGAGAAGAGTGGCAGGGAGTGCAAGGCACCAACTTAGCACCCGGTTAACCTCCAGACTCTGCGCGGGAGACTCGCTGGGCTGGATCTTGCCTAAATCTGAGACCTGGGGCTACGGCCTTCTTATATTTTGGTAGTGTTTCCTTTATAAAGAAAAATAACTTTGAGTTGAGACACTTGTTCAACTTCCCTCTTTCCCAAAAGCTGACCTGTGAGATCTTGGCCCAAAATGAAAGGGGAGTGTGCAGGTGGGAGAGAGGGGGCCGGTGTGCTGCTCCACGTCAGCTCCTGGCCCCTGTGAGCACCAGCAGAACGGGACTGGCTCCCTCCTCGTCCCCTGTAAGAGAACGTGGAGCCTGCCAGGCAGTCACAGCCTGCAGCAGTGGAAGGATTGGTTCCTGAGTACCCTCTAAAGCTCTCATGTGACTCTGCCTTGTCCTCAGTTCACTGCAAATTGCTGTGTGATGTTCGTAGCTGTTACTGAAGAAAGAGGGCTCTTCTTTTGTCCACAGGCTCTTCAAAGCACAGGCTGTCTCAAAACCAGTACCTTGGGGCAGCATTGCTACGTGCATCCTGCTTTTCTTCTGCTTTTCTCTGAGGACTAGGGTCTGGGGCAGTGCTTTGCATAACTCTGAGGCAAGCAGGCTTGGATCCCCCCTTGGTCCTCCTCAGTCAGGGGTCCCAGTGTGCCTCTGGTAATGGGAACCATGTTCTGACTGTCTGAGGCAGCCCAGTGCCAGGCAGAGCCGAGCGTGAGGAACTCGGCATCAGCACGAGCTGGGAGTGGCGCCTTGCTGAGAACTTCCCCAGGCGCCGATGAGCGAGAGGGGGAAACGCCCCACACATTCGTATTGCATCTCCTGTGAGCATGTAGCAAAGGAAGTTTAGCTCTGCTTAGCCAGAGGTTCCCAAACACTACCATGCCATTGGGAGCTCCGTTGGGTCTGCAGGTGCCGGTAGCGAGTCTGGAGTGCGTACAGGGAGAAGCCCACATGAGCCAAGGCATGACCTTCTCTGTGCAGGCAGCAACTGCTTCTCAGCTGATGGTGGCAGAGTGAGACTGGGGGAATAATTTTAGTTTGTTTCCTGTTCTTTCAAAAATCACTGGGATGTAGTCACAGGGCTTCTCATCTGCCGGTTTCCAATACACAGCTGGCTTTAGGGGGTGGGAGGGTTTGGCGTAGAGGAAGGAGGCAGTGCAGGGTGTAAGCTTTGCTTTGGGGGAGTAGAGATGGGTCGAACTGCTTACAGGAGGAGATGGGCTGCATGAATCTTGAGGACAGAGCTGGGGGCTGCTGCTGCAGGCAGTAGCGTGGTACCTCGTGTTGCTGGTGATTCTCATGCTGTCAGGGGTACCTGAGCAAGCAAACAAGTTTAAAAAATTGTGACCAGAGATTTCTGTTTGGTCCTGACCTAACAGGACAGACCCCATTTCTCCATCGTCCTGAGCTGCCAGTGATTGCAAGTAGGTTTGTTAGATCTCCCATCTGGATGGAGAGCTGGCCTGGTGCAGTCTGAAAATCTGTTCAGCTTTCAGCCTTATTGCTTCTCTGCTGTCCTTTATTCTGGATGTATGCTTTCCTTATGTAACGCATCTCCATGGCTCTACAGAGCTTCTCTGCTATTGTTTGCTTTAAGCACACAGAAGCACAGGCAGGGGATAGAAGACTTGTGAATAGAGCAGATGCCAACAAGAAGAGCTGGGGATGGGTAGAGACCCTTTAGACACTAATATGCAGGATACTTGCTTTGTGACAGCTTGCCAGGTTGTCCTCCCGTGCAGCACAGCGAGTGTGTGTTGGTGTGGTGGATCCCGTGTGTCACCTTAGAAAGATGATGGATCTCTGTGGTGATCTGGGATCATCAGCGCTTCCAGGGTATTCACCAGGCTTTTGGCCCGCGGGTGCTCGGCAGCACTGGCTGCTGACTGGGCGTCTTCAGCGTTCCGTCTGGGTGTCCAGAGCCAAGTCTGACCTGAGCTCTGGCAGTGGGGACTGGGCAGTCACACAGTCCAAGGCACAGAGCTCACTTGGTTCACTTGGGGCAGCCTCCTTGATATTTTTATCATACTCTGCAGCTCAGAAAATCTATGTACCTGCTTTATTTATTTTCTCAGGGGTAGTGAGAGCAGCAAGTCTATCCAAGCGTTGTTCTACCCCATCTTCATCAAGTAGCGTTACTTGTTTTCCTGGTGCAGATTGGTTTGGGCTTTGGTGCTGTAAGTGCAGGTCCTCCGGCCCTCCTGACACTACCATTGGCATGTTCACACCCCTTTCCCAGCGCTGCTGTGGTGCATGTCATCCAGGCAGTCTGACCTCCACTCTCTCCTCTGCACTTTATTTCTAGTTGGTTCCTGACTTGCTGTCACCTTAGATAAGTCCCTCTTCCATCCCCTGCATTTCCCAGCTGTAGAGGGAGAATTGTGCCTCTCTGCAGAGCTGGGAAGCTCTGAGAGTGCCACAAAAGGAGCTAGATACAGGCTTGCTCTATTCATTGTGCTTGACAACTCAGTAAATAAAACTTCATTCAATTGCTCGCTCTGTAATTCACGCATAAAAGACCTGTCATTCTGATCTCTCCCACACCATACTTTAAATGCATGATGGAGTGAGACCTGCTAGTGAAGTAGCGCAATTTCAGTGTGGTACAGAATGGTCTTTGAGAGTAAGTTATTGTCATAAATAACGTCACGCACCTGCCTTGGCAGGAAGAGCAGAGTGCATGTGGTGAGCCTGGCCTTCGTCATGGCCTTCCAGAGCTTAACGTGGATCTTGTGACACTTGATAAGCAGGAACTACACTAGCTTTCCAGAGAAAGGCACCAGGTCATGCTGGTGAGGACCCTGGGTTTTCCTCCTTGGCTTTGAGAGGAATTAATAAATATTCATCATCTTCTGGTATCCAGGTTCTTGTACCTTCAGCTGCTCGTGGTGCTTTAAGGCTGTGTGTTAGGCAGCGCTGGCTGGCCTGAGCCCCGGCGGGCAGCCACTGTCTCTGCAGGCTCTCGCACTCTAGCAGCAGGTAGGTAGAGCTCTTGCATGTGAAGTTTCCACAGCATCTCCTAAAGCCGAGTTTTAAGGTCCAGGCGTGTCCTCTCTCATCACTTGTGCCATCCTCCAGCCCAGTCTTCCCATCTCTGGTGGGATGTTCGGTTCTGCCGTTCTTGGTTGACTGTGCACCTTGGGCTTTTCCCACAGTTTTTACTTCACCCCCTCTGGAAGCAAGCTGCCCAGGCTGCTTGCTCCTTGCTTACAGAAACCAGAAGGCATTGCCTTGGATGCAGAAAAGCTTTGTGTTGCCATCCCCTTCTGGTGTGCTGCATTCCTCCACAAGGTGTAATTAGGCCAAAGGAGCTTGGAGCTTTCCAGCCTTTGCTTACATACCTGGTGGTGTAAGCTGTGTCTGTGTTTCAGAACAGCTGAATGTCCTCAAAAGTACAGAATCCTGTTTTTCAAGCAAGGTTTCTTTTCTTTGCCTCTGTGCACGCTCTGTTAGCTGCTCTGCTTGCCAGGGCTCAGTACTGAGTCGGTCACATTGAATGCCTTGATCTCCTCTGGTGCTGTCTCCTTTGCAGGCTGGAGTACCACTGCCGTGTTATTCTTTGAGAAATGGAATCAGGAAAATCTGAGGAGCTTGTTGTCAGGGCATCCTGTGTGGTATCCTAAGCTGAATTAAGGGAGAACTCAGCCTAGAGTTCCTGGTGCTAGTGTGACACCTGTCCCTGGAGCATGTCCCTGGGCTATCTGCTCCAAGACCAGTGGCAATCCAGTTTGAACAGTCAACAAGGCTTCAAGCCTGTAGCTGTCCAGTGTGCAGTGGCTGGAGGCCAGCGCTCTCCCAGTCTCATTGTGTGAAGCTCTGCTTAGGAAGTGATGGTTAGTGTGCAGAAGAGATAACATCCCGTTACTGTGACCAGCTGTTAAAGTCTTGTGGAGCTGGAGCCAGACCTGTCTCGTTACTGTGCCGGGGGAGGTTTTCATTTCTACAGTGTAAGCCTTTTGGGCAAGGATCTCTCCCTTTCTCTCTGGTTTGCCAACATGCAGTGAAATGTCTCTCCTGGGGCAGGTGGCACCGGGTGGGCTCTGGGTGCAGAAGATGGTGGGTGGTAGCTGTGGTCCTGTTCCAGAGATGTCCAACGCAGCCGGGCAGCACTGGCATTTCAGTGCCATGCCTTGGGACAGTGGAAGAATTGTGGCTCTTCTCTAGGTGGCCGGTGTGGAGGACAGCTCGGTGTCTCTCTGGTGGTGTTGGCAGCCCTGCAACACCTCTGGAGAAGCCCATGAGGAACAGAGGAGTGAATTGGGATGGCTCTTGCTTGCCAGGATGGTGGCAAGCCAAGCAGCGTTCTCACTGCAGAGCTGTCCCACGGAGGCATGGGAGAGCTTTCAGTGCCGTGTCGGGTTATGTGTGGTCACTTGCTCCTTCTTCTTGGGTTTCCTGCAGAAAATAAGACTGTGCTGGGCTGAAAGCCAGCATTGCCTGGATTTAGTGAGCTAGCCTTTGCCAGGCTGCCGCACCCCCCAGACTCCTCCAACACCCAGTGTTTCCAGGCAGGTCAGTATGGATCCAATCAGACCTTGCCTTGTCTGCGCTGCTTTCCCTTCCCTGTGCTCACCTTCTTGCTTTACCTTTCCCTTCCCTTTCTGTATCCCCACGGAATGGCTGCCAGCCCCTGCCAGCTCTGCCTCTTAGAGCTGCCACTTGTGATTGCCGAAAGGTGGACAGGCGTGAATGAACAAGAGTGTACCAGAGAGCAGTCATTTGTTACAGCAAGTTTTATTTTTCCCCCCTTTCTTCAGATACAGCACAAAGAATCCCTCTCTGCAGTCGGAGACGGTTCATTACAAGAGAGGGGTAAGCCAGCAATTCTCCCTCCCATCCTTCAAGATTGATTTCTCAGACTGGAAGGATGATGAGGTAAGTTTCTTCTCAGTGTCTCCTTCTTTCCACAACCCTGTTGTCCCAGAAGCACTGAATTCCATTCAATGTCAGGACGTTATGCTGGAAGACACCCTCTCCCAGCTGCCACGGCGTGTTTTGTGGGTATGATGCCATTGGGGCCCTGGGAGGAGCAGGTGTGAACACTGCATGGGAACTTGGCAGGTAGATGAGACAAACAGGGAAGAAACCCAAAGAAGAGATTTCTTATATCGCTGATCAGCTGGCATCCCAGCACCCGGTGTAGGAGGCAGACTGCAGAGATTGGCACTGGAGATCTTCCTGGAGGAACCCGCCACTCCTCAGCCTTCCTCTCCCTGCCAACCAAAGAGCTTGTGGGAGCAAGTGTCTGTGTTGATCTCTCTTTTTTTTCCTTTTTTTTCCTTTTTTTTTTTCCTGGTCTGCTAGCATAGTGGTCTCCAAAGTGGGGTGAGTGCAAGACAATTCATTGGGGTGTGGGAAGAACCTCACTGGCACATGTAAATAATAAACATGCATATATTGGGAGTGCATGCTCAACATTTCTTTACTGATGGGATGGATAATCAAAATAGTTTGGAGACCACTGCTCCAGAAGAGCCCTGCTCTGTTTAAGGGCCATGTCCTGTGTTATTAACTGTAGCAGTAGAGTTGTGGAGGGTTACTCTCCCTTCTGGGCAGATGCACACTGGTGCATTAACGCTGAATAAGAGGATGCCTTCCTCCTTTTAGTTTAACCCATAACTGCAAACAGACAAGGGCCTGGTTTTAATTAAGTTCTGTGGCTTTTACTACATAGTGAGATCTGTGTAGTGCTATTAATTTTGGTATCTTTACAAAATTCCAACCCACGCAGTAACTCTCTGCTTCTTGAGCCTCTGAACTTTGGCCCAAGGGCTTCTCCAGCATGTGATGCAGGGCAGGGAGGCCTTGGTCTTTCCCCTGCTCTGTGCAGAATTGAAAGAAGAGATTTCTGATGCAGAGGACTTGGTCTGCAGCTACTGCTAATGTATTTCTTCCCCTGGACCTCTCTCCCAGGTCAACATTTTGATACAGTGCTTATTTCCTGACCCAAGCCTGTATAAGTGTATTGTGTATGTGAAGCCCGGTAGATAACTCTACCTATTTAAAAAAACAAAAAACAAAAAAAAAAAAAAAACAGGGGAAAAAAATCTTTCATGTATTTGAAAAGATTGAATAGCTATTGTCTTGGAGTTACAGTTATAACTATAATCAGTCCCGTGCCTTAACAAACACCGTAGCAGTTACCAAGAGCCTGCAGAGTCTGGTCTCCTGATGTCTTGGCTTGTCTGCCAATATATGATTTCATAAGTTCAGCCTACAAAAGCCTGAAAAGGCTGCTTTTCAATCCCTTCTGTCATCTGAGAGAGCTGGAAAGTAAGAGCTCAGATCCCATTCTTCTTAAAGATTTGAGAAGCTTAATTTTCACTTTTGTTCCTGACAGCAATGTTTTAACTCAAGTACTAAAGTTGTGTCCCTTTGACAGCTTAAAGGGAGAGATGCTGAGGAAAACTAAGCTTCTAGCTGCCTTTGCTTGATTCTGCTGCATCCTCTGTCTCCTCTCTTTTCACTGGTGTTACTGGGAGCTCTGGTTGTGGAGAAAATATGAAACAAGCACTGTGATTTGGAGGAGCTTCTTCTCCCCTTTTAGCTCTGTGGACTTACCAGTCCCTGTCCTTTCAGGTCCAGTAGAATGCATACGGCTAAGCCTTCCCAAGTGTCCACTGAAATGCAGCACTTCAGCTGACACAGCTGGCAGAGTGTTATCGCTCAGCTGTGTACAATCGCATGCTTCAGGTCGCTTTCCGGCTTCATTACTGGCGTTGTGCAAAGAATCCAGATTTACTTCATACTTTTGCTCAGTGTAATACTCACGTATGATGTAGTTCTTGGCTGGCCAACAGAAGGGAAAATAATGTTCTGTCGGGTTGTTGTGTGGAAAGCTTTGTAAGAGTTTACTTTGTGATATACTGGTTTGCTTGCAAGCTATAGTGGATGGCTTCCATTGAGACAGTTGTTTTCAGGTCCCTAAAAATGAATGTGGAATGGACCCTTAAAGAGCCTTTTGTTTGAGAGCGCAGAAGTTTATAGCATAAAGCAACCACAATTCTATGATGTGACTTTTGCTTCAAATGGACAAACTGTTGTTGTACAGGAATAAACCAGAGCAGGAAGCAAAGCAAAACCATTAGCTTTTTTTCAGCAATTTTAATCAATTGTCCTCCATGAATTTTTCCCTCTGTGGCATGCCATAATGGTTCAAAAATGCCAGCTGGAAAATAGTGGCTCAGTGAGTCTCTACTACAACAAGTGCTGAGAGTTTAAGTGAGATTTTTGTGTTCACTCTTTTACTCTGCTGTTTTGGAAAGACAATAGATTCTGGTAGTTTAAAGGAGGAATAAAATGTAAAACCATCATACAGAGGCTGAAAATGAGTATCCCTCAGGTTTGAAGATTAGCTGGGTCAAATCATAAGGTCTTCCAGCACACGCTTTCCATTTGGAAGCAGGTTATGTGCATTTGGACGGATATGTGTGTGTGTGTGCAAAGCTTCCAGTTTCTGGACTGGCTGGAGGAAATCACGGCAAACGATGCTGGGGCTGCGGGAAGGTGAGGGAGGCCCCAAAGCACTACCTGAACGGTGCTGCGGCGCTTTGAACGGCATCTCCGTTTTCATTGGAGAACTGAAAACAGACTACCTGAAGCACTGTGGTGAAATGACATCTTTTTCTCTCTTGGCAAGAGATGAGACAACCCCCAAGTCAGTAATTAACAAAAACACCAGAAATCCAGTCTCTGACCGACCTCTGTTCCTGGTGTCATACAGTGTTTGTAAGGTTGTGTTTCTCTTGTGTTTGTAAGGTGACATGGAGCTTTTGAAGTGCTTTAATGAAGTGCAGGGCAAAGGAAAAAACTGAGTCTATTTTCCTTGCACTCAAGTGAGATCTTAACTTTTCACTCTTGCCCATTAGAAGTTCAAGGACCTGAATTTCCCAGTGTGCCAAGAGATGGAAATCAGCCTGGTGTTTCCTTCAAGTGTTGTGTGAGCTTGAAATTTTACAGATTTTTCTCTACATTTTCAAGAGCTTAATAAAAGAGACAGGGTTTCTTCTGAGGTGTAGGGAGCATACTGTGTACTGCTGGGCTATAACCAGTATATCCTGACATACAAAAGCAAAACTGTGGCACTAGGTATATTAATTAGTGAGAATTAAGTAACATAAAATCCAAACAGAGATGCTTTCCTTTGCTAGTCGCAGTTGGAGTTCAGTGCTGTGTCAATGTATGTGTGTTGTACTTATTCTGATTGACTCCCTTTGAAAGTCGGTGTTTGCATTTTAAATCCTCTTGCTTTGTTGTCTGCTTTTGAGACCAGGGGCTGGGGCCCCATCAGGTGGTGCCTCCATTCCTCTGACGTTAATGCTGTCTCGAGCGGTGTCTTCAGCCAAGCGCTGTGTGAATGGTCTAACCTCATCTTGTTTCTTTCCCCCAGCTGAACTTTGACTTGGACCGTGGCGTTTTCCCGGTGGTGATCCGAGCGGTGGTGGATGAAGGCGATGGTAAGTGCAGTGCGCCCTTGGTCATCTTCTAGCTCTCTTTGAGGTTGTGTGGCTGCTTCAGGGCAGGCCTCCTTCTGCAATGATGAAAACACTTTACTCATAGCAAAGGCTTGGGGAGCCTTTCTAGGATAAAAATATTTCAAGAGTTCACCTTAACTTCCCTGTATTAAAAGGGCCCAGCTAACCACGGGTTCTTACATAAAAACGTGCTTTTAAAAATAGCCTCCATTTTTTTCCAGGACAAATGGCCAGGTATTTACTGTTGGAATAGTGTTTAGGAGAGCTCCTGGCTCTACCACCAATGCCAGGCACAAACTGGAGCAAATGACTTCCTTTCTCTTCGGGTTTTGCATTTGCAGTTTGTAAGGCAAGGAGGGAGTTGGTCTTTTCCCCCTCTTTGAGGGGTAAGTTGTCTTCCTAAAAGCTACAGCTAACTGTAGTGTGGGCCTTCCCCTAGGAACGGTCAGAGAAAAATAAATGACTTTAAAATGCTCGGGCATTTTCAACCAAATACAGCTTCACGCAGCAGTTTAAAATTCTCCTGCTTTTTCTGAAGAGTGCTGAGTGGTTACAATAGGAGAGCATAGCCTTTGATGAGAAATAATGTTGGTAATTTTTAAAGCACGTTGACATTTTGGAGAGGGAAGTGCAGTAGATGCCGAGATTGTTACTCACCTTGCACAGTATTTTCCTTAGGGGGTGTGAGCTTTTGGGGTCCGTGTGTTTGCACTCATTCAGAGCATCAGCAATGAAAAGGGCACATGGAAGTCACGTTTCCTCTGAAATTGGGGGCTGTTGGGGTCAGCAGGACAACATTTCATGTCTACATTTTGTATGTTTTGTACAAAATTTAAGAATTATTAGAAAGGAAAAAATACATTGCTGATTGCATCGTTTAGTGCTGTCACTGTGCTCAGTTTCTTATCTTGTAGAAGTGCCCAGGAACTCATTGCATTATTTTACAGTCCTCCAAGCAGAGTGAAATAGAGCTGGATGAACCAGTTCAAAGTGTGACTAACAAAGCACAGTGCAACATAAAGGAAATCACTTCTGAAGTGCATCTATTTCCAGTGATTCCAGACACTGTTAGTAAAACTGACATACATGTATATTCCTTGACCATAAATATAAAACACCTTCCTCTGTTTATGGAGCTTTTGGCAACCTACTTGTACTTTCTAATACTGGGCATGCTTAGAAGGACCAAAAATAGCAGAGAAGGCAGCACGGGAAGCGTACATTTATGCACATACCATGCCCAGTCTTAGCCAATTGTGTGCTGTCATCTGTCTCAATAACCTGGAAAGGCAAGTGCTTTTAAATCCCTTCCTGGAAAGAATATCAGCACAAAAATATGCGACACTTGAGTGAGATTTGAGGAAGTTGTTGTGTATTTTGGTTCTTTTTTAACTGCTGGGACTGGAACGAGCTGGCCTTGTGTATTTGGAGCACCTGGAAAATTACAGCTGGCCTGTAACTGCTTGTGTTAAATAAAACTGGATGGGAATTAAAATAGCAGTCAGCGAGATGCTGGTTTGGACTGAGTTCTGCCAGGAGATGTTTGCGTGCCTTGAGGAGTGTGAGCTCGCAGTGGTAGCCCTCTGCCACTCCTGCCGGTGGGATTGCTCTCGGGGAAGGGCACAGAAAGCCTTCGGGGAGGGACAGTGCTGTGCAGAACGGGTCGCACAGCTCCAGCCACACACGCTGCTTGGATGCCATGGCGGATATGAAGGGAAGCGATGCCTGTTCTCTCTGGGCGATTGAAACTGTGGAGAGGGACCCGAATGGCATTTACTGAGTGAGCCAGGACGGCCTTGCTCTCGCCTAGCAGGGTGGGGGAGAGCAACCAGCTGAATTCCCAGTTTCAGCCCTCTTTTCTGCATGCCATTGTGTTCCTGATGGCACCCAAATGGCCGTGATCTCAGCTGCCCAGCAAATCTGTAGCCGTGGACTCCCTTCTCCCACCTACTCCAGTCACCCCCCCAGTGACTCCTCCATGACCTCTGTCTCCTGTTTCCATATGATGAGTCTGAACATAATTAAGCAAAAGGGTCCAACCAGCTGGAGCTGGACAGAGATTGAGAGTCTTGAGCCAGAGAGACTGGGGTTGTACCTCAGTTTCCTCTGCTGTGTATTTTTATTTGCTGAGGGACCTGTGAATGCAGTACAGAAACCTCTGTCAGCCCCTTCTTAATGCTGTTAAATTAAGAGGGAAGCCTCCGGTTTGGAAGAGAGAAGATGTTCTAAGCATCTTTTCACTCACAATGTCCTCAACCATACAAGGATTGTAAATACTAAGGGGAAACTCCTAATGTGTGCTTTCCAATGCTAAAATTGGCCTTGGTTTATGATCCAGTTGCGATGTTGTACAATGCTGTGCAGTTATACAGAAATGCCATACTGCCTGAGGGGGTACTGCACTGTGCACAAAAGAAGGTGCTAGCTCAACACGGGAACATCATCATGCCCTTTCCTACTTTGCATTTCAACTGCGTTTGCTGGAAAGAGGTTGTGTTGTCACATCTTTCCTGGACGTTACATCATTACATACTTTCAGACATTAAAAAAACCTGCAACACAGATTACAGTTCAATCAGTGGTGTTAATGAGACTGCTCAATTCAAGTGCCCTTATCTTTGGTCTCTGATTTCTTTACAACCAAGTCAAATACCCTTTCTGTCTTGAGGATGAATTCTTACACACAATCCCATCACTGTCCCATTTCTTTCATTCCTAAACTGCAAGAGGGTCTTTGAGAAGGGAGATTTCTGGGCCACGGCTGCTGTAGTTTTCTCCAGTATAACAGCATGAGAGCAGCTCTTCTCCATTTCTTTTAACACGAATCATAACCTAATATACCACAGACTGAAATAAAAGGACTGCCAACTGATGTTAAGCCAGATGGATTTATTAATCTCTGTGATAAACTCAGGTAATTAAAAGCAGGAATTTAAGGGAAGAGTGGAATCCCACCAACCTCTTTGTTTTACTTTCCCTTTCCAACCTCTGGAAACAAAGTGGGATAGTTTGGAGCACGCAGGATAACGAAGGCGTGCCTGCATAGCACCCACCGCAGAGCCCAGCAGGAGTGCGAGATGGACCAGCCTGACAAAAAGAGATGAAAAGTTTTAAATTGCAAGAGGGGATGAAAATAGAACAAGTGGCTGTTTAGAAATTGTAAATGGACTACAATTCAGTTCATGGTAGTTTGATGCTTTTGCTGCTTTCAAGGTTTAACCAGGACTGCTCTTTCTCTTTTTGCAGTGGTGGTTGAGGTGACGGGTCATGCCCATGTTCTACTGGCTGCATTTGAAAAGGTACATGAGTTCTTTTTTCCCCTCTGTCCCTGTCCTTGTATTTGTAAACATTTCCATGGGTCATTAGTTTATATTTATACAACACTTAGCACAGTGGAGTCTTGGCCAGTGTCTGGGGTTCCTGAGTGCTATTGTCGTACAAATAATTGCTCGCAGCAGCTCCTGTGCAGCCTGTAATTATCATTTGTACCTGAGCTGGTCAGGCAGCTAATTGTAGCTGGTGTTTCCTGTGCGTGGGGAGAGGGTGTGCCTCCGTGGCTGTGATGTTTGGGGGTGGAAGGTGTTGACCATGGCTGCTGCTGTGCAGTTTTCCAGGGCCTCTTGATGTCTCTGCAGAACCGGATCTGCTGTGTCCAGACCCTGCTGCACCATTGTTTGCCCTTAGTTTACACGTAGGACCAAGCCCTTTTAAAGAATTAGGATACATCCTGCATGAAGGCTTTGAGCTCCACTACTTTTCGGTGGCATGTTTGATGTAGCTGCCTACACGGTAAGGCTCAGCCAACCTGTATCCACAAGCCTTGATAGCAGAACCTCTTCCCATGATAACTGGACCCTGAAAACAGTTGCAGGATCCATGACTGCACCATATGGTGTCTGGTTGTGGTAATACTGCAGCCACATATCCTGGGCCAGTGATGCTTGTTGTGACATGCTAAGATGAGGCAAGAGATGCTGGAGCGGAGCTGGGCATGTAGAGGGGAGCAGCATCAATGCTGTGCTGTTAGAAATTCCCCGCTTCCAGGGGGGAATGAGGACTGACTGCTGTTTCTCAATCTGCTCGGTTCCTGCCGTATCCCTTGAGCAATCCCTTGAGTTATTCTGTTCCTCCTAGGTGGATAATGTGGACGGTGACAAGCTGAGTCAGAGGGCATGGGAAGTACAGTCAGTCCTCAGGAAGCCTTGCGGCTGGAAGATGCTCTAAGTGTTCTAGGCTGCTTTTTTGTTGGACTTAGTATATGAAGAAAATGAGTTTCCTGTGTTGGAGAGGCTGCTCTGAGCACTGGCTCTGTAGGTAGTTCTACTCCTGGCAATTAGAGATCTGTCAGAAATGAGATGGGCAGCTGCAGCACCCTTGGGACTAGGGCAGGGGTGTTATTCTTCCGTTTTCCTCCTCCAGCTAATCTGGAAAAACAAAACACACTGGCATCCCTCAGTTGTTTAGCAAAACCTGGGAGAGAACAGTGTGGGCAGTGGGTCCTGGGGAAGGCTGCAGTGTTTGGAGCCCATCTGTTGTCTTGGTGGGAAAGTACTGGAGGCGGAGACCCCCTAGCTTGGCAAAATGATTGTTCAGCCATTTCTGAGGAGAGAAAAATACATGAGACCGCCAGCTTCCTGCATGTTACAGCCTGGTTTTGAAGTGTTCTACGCATTTGCCTTCCTCATCTGCAAGACACCCATGCTCCTCTGGCTACTGCCTTCATAGCTTGTGGTTGTGGCTAGGGTCAGGTTAGGCTTGGATCTGATGATGTGAGTACGATTTTCACTTACAGAGGAGCGTGTCTAGTTGCTGTTTTCCAAGTATCCGAACATAGTGCTGTTGCAGTGAGCCCAGCCTCTGTGGTCAGGGAGTAGAGCTCTCGCTTGGACCGGTTTTGTCCCAGTTTCCCGTTCTAGCATCCCGTGGCCTGTGCTTGATGATAGCACCTTATAGAAAGTAGGAGAGTATACGTGTATATTGGGAGTGTCTTAGCATGAGGGCAGAAGTGAAGCTTTGGAAATTTCTGTCATGAAATGAAGGTGGCTTGAACTTCTCCAGCTTTGGAAGGAGGATTTCAAGGGTTATAGGTAAATTCCACATACTGTGCAGAGCCTCTGGGCTCTCTGGATGCACGAAGGTAATGGTAAAAGCCCCCTTAATGTTCAGGGGGCTGAACAAGGTACGCAGCAAAACTGGGAATCAAATAACGCTGGTCAGGCCATTCCATCAATGCTGGATTATGTCCCATGCCCAGGTCTGAGCTCAAGGATTGAAAGTGCTTCTCTTTTTGTTCTAGTGCTGTGAGAGGGAGATGCTGTCTGGTGGGGCCTCTTCTTATCTTCCACTCAATGCTTAAAACAAGATCGAAATCTTTCTTTTAACAAAAAGTCACAGGGAAAACTGCTTGTTGAGTTCTTTTTCCTCCCTGTTTGATTAAAGTACATTCCCCATCCTTAGAATAATTGCAGCTTTTGAAGTGTAGGTCCATAAATTGAGAGGAGGTCCCAGAGCATGCTCAGAGGACTTGGTAACTTGCTATTCATGTACATCTTTAAGATCAGAATTGTAATCTTGATGCTATCCATAGAGCCTTGCAGCTCTTCCAAAGGCAGAAACTTGGCACTGTGTGTTTGCCTGGGAAACAGGGCTGTTTTGTCTTTTGGTGCAGTGTTGTTGTCCCTTCCTTCTGAAAGTCCTTCGGCAAACAGATGGACGTCTGCAGCTGTTCACAGCAGCAGGGCCTGCTGCAGTGTCCCCTTCCCTGCTCTCTGGACTGTAGCAGGAGAGTTGGTTTCTCTCAGTTTAGCTGGCCCTTGTGGACGATGGAGCAAATAGAAACAGTACGCTGCTCCTGTCGCTGGTTTGGACACCAGGTATATACAGAATTGTTCCAGCCGTGCCTGCCACCACTGGGCAAACGAAGGGCTCAAGGCAGCCATCGCAGCTCTGAAGATGGCAACGTGGAGCATGCGTGACTTCTTTCTGACTCTGCCCAGTGGACAAGCCGCCTTCTCAGCCTCATGCAGCCCCCTGCTCTCGCGGGGCTCTGGCCTCAAGGTGGCTCTGTAGCTGGGTGTCATTTCAGGTGTTAACAATTATCCCCACCCGAGTTTTGCTGACTTGCTGAAGTGTTTGCACCAGCTGGAATGCTTGCAACCTGAAAGCATCTGGTGTGCCAGTGGGTTGTTATGTATGCTCTGACAGTCCAGCCAGGTTTAACCGGAGCCAAGGTCAGCTAGCTGTGCGCTGGAGCAGACGGGGAGCACTCTGATACCCTGTTCCACTAACTCTGCTGGCAACGATTGCCGTTCAGGTTGTCCCGGTTATACATATGCCACCCTCCCTTAGCTAGCAGACACCAGCCCTGATTGTGAGTCTGTTTTACTCTTAATTTGTACACCAACTATTTAACGCATTTCCTTTTTCTCCCACTAGCACGTTGATGGCAGTTTTTCCGTGAAGCCGTTAAAACAGAAGCAGATCGTAAGTACCTGTTTCCTGTCTACTGCTTGGTTAAAGACATTTGCTGGTGTCCCACGGCCGCCTGACTGTACCCAGTGGGAAGCTTCGCTGTTAGTTCACTGAGAGCCTGACATCTCCCCTCTTTAGCTCAGATATCACAAGCAAAGACAGTGAGCTGCTGGCAGCCCTTGATGTTGGGTTGTTTGTCCCACAGCCAGATGCATGTTGGGGGAGCAAGTACGGCAGCGTGGGACTGGTGCAGGTCTCTGTGCTCCTCTGGAAGGCAGGCACTATGGATAGATCCACTCTTCCCTGTATGTTCCTGCCTTGCTGGCATTTGGCGTTCGAATACAAAACTGGCAAAGCACAGTACTGACTCTCCCGTGTCTGTATAGGCGTAAGTAAATGAGGTTTGCTAAGTGAGGTTAAGTGCCGTATGCATTAAGTAGTGTGAAGCGTATCTGTTTGTTGGCACTGATCTCCGTAGGTTCTGTGTTTTGTGCTGTGGAAGGATATCTTTGCAGGCTCCCACTGTCCTACCTGTAGGATGAAGTGTTAGTTTTCCGTGTGTGTGTGTGTGTGTGTGCACGTGTGTTAAGATACTAGGGGATCTTATCCTGTCTTCTCCCTGCACAAGCTTCCTTGCTGTGCCCATGGTATATCTGGAGCAATCCCAGGGATTGAGACCTTTTGGCTCATCTTGCCTGTCCCTACGAGTGTCCTGGGACTTGAGCAGTCACAGACATGGTCTGGCTTTGAAGCTGTTGGTTATGTGCCAGACTGCACAGGTGATGAGGGAAAGGGAAGAAGGGGGACTGGCAGATGGAAACACGAGGGATCTGTAGCCGTTTTATAGCCCATCCTGGTGTGTTGTGATGTGCAGAAGCTGTGGACTGGCTTACAAGATGGAAATAGCATCCAGTCTTGCACAGAGAGAAATACGTAAGCAACTGCAAAGTGCTATGATTGACGAGAATTTCAGGTTCTGAAAGGAAATCTGGTAGGAATCCTGCTGCAAGGATCGGCTTGAAATGTCATAGAGAAAGGGACAAGATGGTGGTGGTTGATCCTTTAACTTTTAGATGTGTGCTGTGTTTCTCCTTTAAACTTGTTTGACTTCAGCTGCTTGTGATCGATGGCTAGGGCTTTCTGATCTGAATTAAAAAGCCTTCTACTACCAAGAAGGTCATTAAGTGCCTTGATTAGACACTTTTTGCGCTAAGATGTTCCTCCCAGTTCCCAGGTCAGAGAAGAGCTGCTAAACAGTATCAGTTAATTGTATATTCAAACTGTGTTTGGTAATTCACTATCTGCCTCGCCAGTGCTGTGCAGAGACTCACGGCCTGTCCTCAGACTTGCTCATGCCAGTAGCAGCAATATTGGCCCTCGCTGCTTTATGCTGGTGCTGTCGAGGAGTTCCTTGCCACCCCAGCCTGACGCCTGTTCTGAGCCCCGTGTGTCCCGGGCTGACCCACGCTCCCCTCCCTTCCTTGGTGCTGGACTTGGCTGCGTCACAGCATCATCTCCTGGCTTGTGGATCGAGCTGGGTCCCACAAGTATTTTTAGCAGAGACAGCCAGGGACTGTTCTGGAGAGGAGTCTGCAGAGCGTGCGAAGGCACGTTTGCAGTGGGAACATCCCGAAGAGCCGTGCCTCGGAAGGGAGAGCTTGTGTGCTGGGCTGGGAGAAGCTGCTGAGCGCCGAGGGAGCAGAGCAGCAGGATGCCAGCAGCGCCTCTTTCTCACGTGTTCTTCTGATCAGAGGAGAGCATTCATGAGCTGATGAAAAGCCGCTCATTTATCTTACCTGTGGGATTTATTTACCTGTGAGCTCTCTGAGTTTGCTGGTTTGCTGTGCACACTGAGGCTGTGTGTACCCTTCTCCATTTGGCACTCCGGACTCCCGCATGGAGGGCTGTCTTGCTGGAAGTGCTCTCCAGGGAAGTTCCCACCCTAGCACAGTATAGATTAGCAGACTCCTGCAGTGAAACACTGTGTGCTTGTCTGCCTTTACTGGCAGAGCATGGAACCTTCCCACTCAGTGTTTGGTTGTGGGTACTTTTTTATTGGCAGTTTGTTAGATGTAGTGCTTACATGTTCTCTCTCATGGCTTTTAAAATAGAAGGAAGCTCTTGCTAGAAGAACACACGGTACCGCTGAAACTGAGATAGCATCTGCACCATAAGAGCATAAAGCAGAGGTATAGAGTGTATGTCTGGGGTAAACCCTCTGTATAACATTGGACATTCTTCCCCATCGCTGCTTTTCTTTTGCCGTCCCCTCCTTGCCGTTGCCAGGATTGCGGGTAGCTTTTGTGTGCATCAACCTCTAAAGCTCCTTGGAGCAGGAAGCAGCAGCTAATGAGCTGAACCTCTTTGTTCTCTCAGCTGAGATCAGATATAGTGTATGTACCAACCTGTTTAAAGAAATCAGGGCGGATGAGTACAAACAGATGGATCAGCAGAAAAACACGACCTGGAGTTGGCCAGTGGCTCCTGTGCGCATCAGCTGAGCTGTGTATAGCAACGGAAGCCTTTGGAAGGGTGACGTGGTGTGGGATGGGTTGGAGAAGCATGAAGGTGAAGGATTGCATTATGTACAATCACCTACGCCTTCTTATTTACTGCTACTCTTTAAAAACCTAGAGATCATTCTGGTAACAGCCGTGTTGCACTGCTCACCCTTTTCCTACTGGGGCATGAGCTTCTTGGGGTTTTTAGAGGCAAGCAGCGAAAGGAACGCAGACTTGTGCAGAGACTCTGGTCTTTCCCTTCCTGACCTCTTCTGTGCTCTGACCTGACCACTTCTGCACTCACTGTCATCCGTCGTGATCCTCCGAGGAGTCAGGATGCTGTAACAAAACCCTCTTTGAAATGTTGAGTTACAAAAGAACATCTCCCACATAATTGTTCCCAAACTTCCCGGGTGAGTTCTGAGCCACTGCAGAGGATTTTGCTCAGCAGTCCAACTGCTGACCTCATTGCCTTGAAATGCCGGCCCAGGACAGATTGTCTGTAAGCTGCACGCTGAATGAAACAGGGCAACTCTGGAATTAGTTTGTTAAAGCTGCTGTGTCCCAGTTCGGAGCATTTCTGAACTAGCAAATGGGCTGGATATGGCCAGCTCCTGCCTCCGGCTTGGCACGTGATGTCTTCTGCAGCACTGCAATCCCGGGGCAGAGCCGTTGCTCTTCTGAGCACCTGGCTTGACAAGAGGAGAGGAGAGAAATTGCACATGGAAATGCCAAAAGCCCTGGGACTGACGAGCTGTTGAAGTGCTGGGTTCCTGGTGGCTTGGCTTCACTGCATGGTGTCAACTGGACAGTCACTGGAGGTGACAGGAAAGCGTTTCCTTCCCCTATTAGCGAGGTGTGTCGGCTCGGTACCTTGCAAACCCTTCACCGTTTTATGTGTTGCAGGGGAACACACCCTGCTCTGGGGAAGCTGCTGTGTAGCAGCAAATCCTGGAGGACTGGTATCTTTGTGCATCCTTGCAGAGGCTGTCAGAGCCTCGTGCTGCGCTTGCTGGGAAGAGGGGAGAACACCCCACAGCGCAGAGGGGGCTTGCCCCGCTGCGACTCTAGCCGTCAGCCTTTCTTGTCTCACTGCTTTAATTCAGCTGCTTCGGGGAGTTTGCAGGCAGCTGCCAGCGTTTGCGTAAAGGCATGGCTCCTGGGTTTGGAGCCCTGAGCAAAATCCACTGTGCCCAGAGTGCTTTCTGCCACCACACACTCCAATTTAGAGATGCCACCGAGGGCCTGGAGGTGGCAATAAATAAATGACACAGCACCAATGTTGTCCCTCGAGTGCTTCTCGTGCTGTTTGTCTGTTTGCAGTAGCTTGACCTTGCGCTCACAGGTGATGAACAGGGAAGTGATGTGCCAGTAACAAGCTGTTGGCACAGCACCTCTCCTGAGGTTACAGAGCTGGGTGGAAGTTCATCTTGGTCAAAGTTAAGCAGTGTTTCATAGAAGGAAAGGACTGTGGAAGGCTGACTGCCTCTGCCTTGTTTGAGCGATGGGTGCGTGCTCCCTCTTGGTCCCTGAGACAAGCAGATGATTTAGTTTATAGCTAATTTTGATAGTGAGCAAAGTGTCCGCTTGGGCTCCCTGCTCAGACCGGGCACTACTTTCTGAGCAAGGAGAAACTCGTTCTCCCAGCTGTCCTTTGCAATATGTATTTCTGTTAATTTTTTTGTGTGGCTCTAGGGGAGCCAGCTGCCGTGGGTGTAATGTGGTCATTTTGACACAGGGAGGGAGGGGAGGTGATCACAAAGCCGCAATGACAGAGCAGCTGGAACTCCAACTGTTGTCTTCTTCCCTAGGTTGACCGGGTGAGCTATCTGCTTCAGGAGATCTACGGCATCGAGAACAAAAACAACCAAGAGACTAAGGTAAAGGTGCTCCGGAGGCTCCTGCTGCCTGAGCTGTGGGTTTCCAGCCTGCACCTCCTGCTTCTGAGCTTAATTTTGGGGCTTGGCAGGGCAATGTGGAGATGCTTCCCAGTCAAGTCTGTGTGCAGGCACTGACGAAGCCCAGGGGTGGCAGATCCTCACTGGTGCAAGGCACAAACAGTCAGTGGAGTTGTGCTGAGATAATTTTAGATGCCATGAGGCTCTTGAGGGTATTCCGTGGGGCTGGAGTTGCTGAGAGAGGAGGATGTCAGTGCCCCATGGGGCAGAGCACTGATCTTTAGGTCTTATGGGGACACTGGGCTGGTGTCAGCTGCTGCTCTTGGTGCCCTGAGGCTGCTGGCCAGGCTAGGTGCTTCCCAGTTTGCACACCAAGGGTATCTTTCTTTTTTTTTTTTCTTTTTCTCGTTGATTGTAAATGAACATTGCTTCCCAGACACCTTTGAAATCTTCCCTCTGGTTCCCACACTGTCTCACTGCCTCTCCGCAGTTGAGGCAGTTGTTCCTGCTGTGTCTGTGCTTTGCTCCTGTGGCTCCTTCATCTTCTTCTGTTTGTTGGGGGTTTTTTTGTTTTATTTTTTTTTTAATGGGGGACTGCACGCTCCCATAGCATCGCAGGGAACCAAGCTCTCTAGGGCTTGCCCATGTCCAGAGAGCAGCCTGCACTCCCCAGCTGGAGAGAGCACCGTCACTGAGGGATGTATGTGCAAATACCTTAACCAGAAGCATTGCCCATCTTTAGGCAGGAGCTTCAGCTGAATCCCAGCTCTCTGCACAGCCCCGTGCAGTTTATGTGACATCTTTACTCTTGCTTTAGCCTTATGTAGAGTTGCCCTTTGCTGCCACCTGGGCTGCAGAGCGAACCAAGTGCTGGCCTCAGGATCAGACCGCTCTGGTGTGTGTGGAGTGTGTGGTTTGCAGAGGAGTAGCCACAGAGCCAGACAAGCAGGATTTCCTCGCAAAGCAATGCAGTGTCCTGCCCAAAGCATCCTGTGGTCTCTGTCTGCCTGTGGCAACAGGTAGCACCTGAAGAGGCAGGAGGAAGAAGTATTTTCAAAGATTTTTTTTTTTTTTTTGCACAGGACCTCTTTTAAGAGGCTTGAAGGCATCTGTTTGGGTCCTCCAGGGTCTCGTGATGAGTCTCTTCATCCAGCAATCACGCATTTGTGGCCCATCAGACAAGTGGCCTAGGGCCATTTTTGTTCTTCCCAGTATGCTTAGCAAACCATATGAATAGGAAAGCAAAAAGCCTGCTCTCCTACCTCCCAGAATAGCTGAGGAGCGTGTGTGGTGGGGAAGACAGGCTTGCAGCCTTTTGCTGGCGTAGTCAGCAGCTGGGTGTGGACGCGGCAGCAGCAGATGCTGCGTGTTGCTGTTTACACCGAGGTTGCGTGTGGTCTGTCACGTTAGCCCTGGTGACCAGAGGGGCTCTGTGAAGTGGTGCTGATGGGACCCTGCGAAGGTGGAAGGTGGCCTGTGCTGGGTCATCAGTTTGGCAGGTTCTGGTGTAACATCTGTGGCATCGCTGGGGAGACTGTGTGGCTGGCGGGTGTCAGTGAAGGGAGCCTTTGTGATCAGAGGGTGGGTTTCTCCTCCCAGCAGCAGCTTGCTCGGTGGCTCTGATCCAATCTGTGGGGCTCTGAGTGACAGAAAGACTAGGGTGGTGCACAGTCATGTTGAATGGGTTCACGCTGACCTGTTTACCAGGTGAGCATCCCTGTCTGATTCTCCTGCAGCTGCATGGAGTGAATTCACAGCTCAGCACCCTGCCCTGGCCTCTGGCAGAGCCCTGAGCGGAAGGAGCATCCGTAGCAGGGCTGGGTGGGCTGGAGCTTGCTCTCCTTGAGAAACCCCCGCTGAGAGCTGCGGAAACAGGATGCCAGCTCTCACACACTTTTGGGTGGGAAATTTCTCCAGGCTCCAGAGTTCCCTGTCAGTTCGGCGTGGCCCTTTCCATTCACGTGCCAATGGTTTGCCTCTCGTTACAGCCCTCAGATGACGAGAACAGCGACAACAGCAACGAGTGTGTGGTTTGCCTGTCAGACCTCCGCGACACCCTCATTCTGCCCTGCAGACACCTCTGCCTGTGCAATTCCTGCGCTGACACCCTGCGCTACCAGGCCAACAACTGCCCCATCTGCAGGCTGCGTGAGTATGTGCCCGGGAAAAAAGGGCATCTTCCTCCCTCCTGCGCTCCTGTTAGACCAGTGCAGGCTGTGAGAGGCAGCGTTTATTTTATATATACCCCAAGGCTCAGCATCAGACATGCTGCTGCTCTCACCAGCATCTGGAGATTCCTAAAATAACTGTCCTCGAATAGGGAAGGAGGAGAGCACGCGGCAGAACGGCCGTCTGTCCTGTGCCTCCCTGGGTGCTTGCCCTCTCCCTGGGATGGATCTGAAGGTGCTGGTGCTCTGAGCAGTGCTGTTGCTTAGCTCCCAAAAGATGGTAAAAATGAAACACCCATTCTGACACTCAGGCAGTATTTGCTAAATTCCATGGCTTTTCTCAAAAGTACAGGGGCACAGGAGTCTCTTGAGACAATGCCTGTGTTTTTGCCGGAATAGATAGATCGTGTGTTTTACCCTGTGCTTGGTCTCTGATGTATTTGGTTGTTTCTAATTGATACTTCTTGGGAAAAGAAAAAAAAAACCCTAAGACAGATGTTTGGCCTGAGAAATTAAGTCTAAACAGTTCAAACTTGGCAAAGTTGCAGTAACCAAAAGCAAGATCTTATCAGAGGAAGTGCCAGACAGCTTTGACTAGGAGTAGCACAACTGAAACACGGGAACAGCATTATCTCATCTGCGTGCTGCAGCGGAGTAGGCTGGAAAGTGCCCCAATGTCAGACTTCCTGGGAATCTGCTTCTGGGGAGTGCAGAGGCAGCAAGGATAGATTTGCACCTCTGTCCTCTGACTCTAAGCTGATCTTGCAAGCAGCTGGGTGCAACAAGAAACTCCTGGGCTTTTCCTTGTGTACAAGCAAGTTCTTACAGCTGCATCAGAACAGATGTCTGGCTCGTTCCTGTGCACCCTTGGCACAGAGGAACTCACAATATTAAAGATCTGCAGATAGAAAATGAGACTGTGGGCAGGGAGTGGAGATCAAAGCTGTTGTGGTGGGAGGACCAAGGGATGGCTGTGCTGGAGACAGGAGTTCAGCTGCTAACCCCTGGCTGGGCTCACGGCTGTTGCAGAGCCTCTCCCCGGCGTAGTGCCAGCCGGTGAGCGAGCAGGCGATGGCAGGAGCGATGCTTTCACCTCCAGCTGGACCCCGGGCTTGAGACTTGTGGGGTCTGAATGAACACAAAGCGGTTTGACATGAGGTCCCCCCCATCCTGTGGCTTGCAGTGCGCTGCCTGAGGCCGAGCTCATGTTCTCATGCTGTGTTGTACAGTATCAGGCCTGAAGCACCTCTGCACATGACTGTAGTGGGGCAGGCAGTGCCTCTTCCCTGCAAGGGCTACATGTACCCAGACTTTTTTGGCCAGCAGATCTCTCCTCAGTATAGACCAATAGAACTAGAACTAGAAGCCAGGCCACGGCACTTGGCTTTGGTGTGCTCCATAGGCCTGCTCGCCACGCACACAGGAGCTCTCCCATGCCGACGCCGTGTCTGCAGTGAGCTGAGGAGCTCCGGTGCGTGTCTGGCACAGCCTGGTCACCTTCCTGCTGTTCTCTCCTAGCCTTCCGTGCCCTGCTGCAGATCCGGGCTGTGAGGAAGAAGCCAGGAGCTCTGTCACCAGTGTCGTTCAGCCCTGTCTTGGCACAGAGTGTTGACCATGACGAGCATTCTGTAAGTACCTTGCAGCCCTGCGTACACAGCCTGGGCACTGGTCTCAGCCTGGACAGGCAGCTTGTGGATGCACGAGTTGCTTGGCCTGACGGCCAGCGACCCTGGGACCTCAGGAGGTGCACTCAGGTGCTGGAGTGAGGTCTTCCTGGGCAGTACAGCCTCTCTTCTCAACCCTGCTAGAGAGCCAGGACCTCTCCTCTTGTAATTTAGTAATACCACTGATTTTAGTCAAGTGCCCTCGTGACTTTAGGAGAAAACAAATACACAGAAACCTCAGTCTGAGAAGGTTTCTTGGGGCCTGTCCCAGCAGAAAAGTGGCAAAACTCTGGACATGGCAGGGTGGGAGCTGGGAAAACGTGGGGGAAGGTTTACAGTTTGACTTAGACACATCTGTGTGGCGGCACGCTCTGATAAAATGACCTTGGCATTGGGGTTCCCAGCACAGTGGCAGAAAGGCCTTTTGTGCCAGCCTTCCTGAGTGATCGGGGTCTTGGCTGGCAGCTGAGTGGGCATGGGATGGAAAGTGTGGTGCTGGTGGCCTCAGGGCTGTCCCCAGTGCGGTGAGGGCAGAAGCTCACTGCCTGAGCAGTGCTGTTGCACAGCTGGCCCTGGCGAGACACATGAGAGCAGAGTGAGGAGAAGGAGATCTGCATCGAGATCATCGTAAAGGCTTTCATGGGAACAGGAGGAGATTGTCACAGAAAATGCCTGGTTTTATCCATCGGCCCTCTGCAGCATTGTAGCCCTGCTGCCTTCAACCAAGGCTAAGAAATAGGACAGGGGAGAAACCCCGATGGCTGTTGTGAAGCAGAGCGTGGTGTGTAGAGGAAGCAGGCGCTGTCACCTGGAGCGAGGTGAGGAGATGTTGTGTGTCTCTTCATGTCACTAAACTCAAGAAACAACTTCTTTAAAACATGGTTTTCTCTTGACAGTGTCCCTTTAAACCCCTTAAAGTGAGCACTGTCTCCCTGCCCAGCAGGAAACCTAGAAGGGAAACAGTAAGTGGACTTGGTTGTGTTTGTTCCTACGGCAGTTCTTTGCCAGCGCTGTCACGAGCACGTGGACGTGTTACACACGCGAGGGCTTGCTAACACGCTGGGTTGGACTTGTGCCCCTGCACAGGCTGTGACACTCCACGTCCTGCCTTCACGATAGCGGGGAGATGCTCACACCCTGCACGGACCATCACTAACTTCCCTGGTTTGTGTGCGGAGGAATAAGCAAGATGGAAGCAGCTTGCCACAGGGGTCTGCCACTGACTCTCGGGGACTGTCCCCAGGTCCTGAGCCTGGCTGCTTTACAGTTCCTGGCCACGATGTTTTCGTAGCTTTGTAGGACTGAGGGCAAGCTGCTGTCCCCCTGGCTCACCCAAAAGCTTCCTTGCACTTGTCTCGTCCCCTTGGCGGTTTGATGTGGGCACATCTTGTTGTGGTTCCCACGCTGATGGATGCTGGGGTGTAGGTGCAGGCGAACAGGCACGGTTGGACCACGCCATGCATTCAGGACCACTGGCTGCAACGGGCTGTTCTGCTTTTACAGAAACAGGAAAGATGGGGCTTGTTTTTTTGGGGACTTTCCATGTTGGTGTCAGTGTGTGTCACTGGAATGCTGTGCTGGGGACAGCATGGATGGCAATTGTGGGGAAGCAGGAGCTGGGAAGGGGAAAGGTGAGGGAGGCCCCCAGGCCAGGAAGGGTCTGTCTGTGCCCTCTTTGTGTCCTCCCATCAAGTGCAGCTCCAGCTGTCATCGATATCAAGGAGGCTGCAGTTTTCTTTTGCTCAGGCCAGCCTGGATGCTCACCTTACGAGGAGTGTGGCTTGCTGTGCTTGTCAGGTCTGGAGAAAATGTGAAGCTGGGTTCAGGTATGAGGCTATTACAAGCTTGGCATGACCCTGGCTCTCTGCAAGCCTCCTGCAGCGACTGTCCATCTCCTGCTCTGGCAGTGGGCTCTGGGGGGTGTCCCGGGAGAGAGCAGTGTCTTCTAGGGTTGTTTGAAAGTTCAGTAACTTGCAGCGAGGGTGTTGTAGCCACTGGCCGAGAAATCCTCCTCCAGCCTCTCAGCTCTGCTGCAGGACCCGAACTTTCCCCACAGCAAACGAACAGCCTTTGGTCTGCACAGCCAGGGGAAAATGTCCCAAACACACAGCCAGGGGGGTTTGTCTCCCTGACTTTTCTGTCCACAAAATAGCACCTCTGAGCTGCTGTCTGGAGATGTTTTTGTGGAGATGGCTTTTGACCCCACTGCCTGCAGGTGGCAGCAACTGTGAACCAATTCCCTGCTCAGCTGACTTGGTTGTCTCGCAATCATCATCTCTGGTCTTCAGCACAAGCTCATACCCGTCACAAGACCAGTACTTAGGGGATGTGGGTTGATGCTTGGCCCTAGGTGCCACTCGTTCTTTCCTCTCTGTCAGATCTAGCTCCTTCTGTGACCACAAATGAGTCAGTTCAGCGATCAGCTCACCCCAAATTAGTGGCTGGGTTGGAACAAGTTGCTGGGCCAGCTCATCCGCAGCTGTGTGGCTGGGAGATCAGGCACAGAGGAGTTACAGGAGTTCGTGGCCAGGCTCAGCAGCAGCATGCCACCTTAGACACAAGAATCACCTCCCTGAGGGTGCAGGGCTGAAACAGCTTCATTTAATGTAAGCCTGGACTGCTGCAGTCTTGCTTCTTCGCAGCGGGTTGGGTTGAGCTGCCTGTGACCTACTGGGTTGCAGCGTAAACCCCCTTTATCTCTGAGTCTACGGGTCCTTGATGGCGAGAAGGATTTTTGGAGTTAAACCAGTGTTAGGGTCCCTTTGACTGGCAACTTGGTGACTTACCGAGGGAATGGGAACTGGTGCAGTTTTGCCCTCCTCCCACCAGGGCCAGTGGTGCTGTGATCCCTTTCCTACCCTTTAGCAGAGGCGACTGTGCAGAGAGCCGGTGCGAGCAGCCGAGGGGACCGAGTCCATGGGAGCAGTGGAAGTGCTGCAGGCTGCGAGGACCAGCTCCCAGCTGGGGCACATGTACTCCCCTCCTTCAACTCTTTCATACGATGCTGGTGGTGCTGTTAAAGAGCTGTGTGTACCAAGGCTGGAGGCACAAGTCGGGGAGTTACTGAGCTGGAAGGGTCTCTGAACCATCTGAGAAACTTTTAGGAGAAAAAATCCAAATGTATTTTATAGCAGCTTTGTTAGGAGCCTGCTTCCTTACCCTCCTTGTCCAGCTCTTGAAGGTATGGCAGGGGGCTGCTCAGCTTTTTTCTGGCGTACTGAGATGCCCAGCTCTCAAGCATTGGTCTGGAAATTTGCCTGGAGCATCAGCAGAGTTACAGTGCAAAGGGGAACGTGTGGCTGTCACAGGGGAAGAAGGCTGAGGCTCTTTGGAGAGGTGGCTGTGGGGATGGGCTGCCCAGGAGCACCGTGTGGGAGGCGCAGGGCTGGCTTGCAGCCCGACCTCCCCTTTCTAGGGAGCTTCCAGCCTGGCCAGGGTTTCTTAACATGCCCCCCTGTCTTTCCATCGCAGAGCTCTGACAACATCCCTCCAGGCTACGAGCCCATTTCCTTGCTGGAAGCGTTGAATGGCCTTCGTTCAGTTTCCCCCACCATCCCATCAGCTCCTCTGTATGAAGAAATCAGCTACTCCGCCGTGGTGGATGGGATGCCGCCTCCCAGCCGACCGCTCGTGGGGATGGACAGAGCTGTGGAGAGCAGCCACCAAAAGGGCAAGCGCAGCAAGTCTCCAGATAGGTCAGCATGGGAACGGAGGGGTCTGCTCCTCTTGCACACCCCAAAAGCTTGTGGCCACAGTGCTGGGAGCCAGGAAAGGGCTCTGGCTGGTCCCATCCCTGGTAGCTCTGCTAGCTCACAATTTTAGGAGGCCAGCAGGTATTCGTGCCAGTGAGAGCACTGGGACGTCACCCATGTGTTCAGCCTGAGGTGACCCGCTTATGTCTCCTGAGAGCTGGCTTTGTCATCAAAAGCAGGAGGATTTTTAACAAGATTTTGTCCAGACTTTGAATGCAAATGTCTCCTTTCAATGCAGTTAGCCCCTCAGTTTGCCTTTGACATCCAGACCTTGCTGGATTTCAGCTTTCCCTGGAGTTCCCCAGAAGCAAAAGAATGGGGAGAGAAGTGACCTGAATTTCAGAGCACAAAATGCTGAGTGAGACACTTCAGTTGTTGTCTCAAGCCTCCTCTGTTGGCCTTGTGATGGAGGATGTCGGTGTGGATGCCATGGAGCAGGCAGCGCACTGCAGGTGCCCCTCAGGTGTCCCTCGCAGGGCCATACAGATGGGCTCAGACCGGGTTTGTTCCTGGCACTTCTCACTGCGCTTCATTTCTAATTTCCCCCTGGGAAGGGAGCCCCTGAAGGTGTGAGGAGCATCGTGAGTCCTGGGCCTCTTGCTTTCCGTGCAAAGGCAGGATTTGTCTGAGTTGTGTTACGGTGCTGGAGCTCTGCACCGCTTGCCTCTGCCCCAGAACCGTGGCTGCTGCTGCTGTTCTCTGTGTGGCTGTCACTGGAGGGCCTTGGGGAGTTCGGCTCCATCCTTTCAGCTCCTGCTCGTGCGTGTTGGCTTATGCTGCTGGTGGAGGGACAGGGCAGGGGGGGTGACAACTTGAGCTGCTGCCACCACATCTGCCAGGGCCCATGGTGCTGCCAGCACTGCGGCTCCTCGCAAATGGAGTTTCTCTTGCCGCAGCACACTACGGTCTCCCTCGTCCCCCATCCACGAGGAGGATGAAGAGAAGCTCTCCGAGGACTCCGACTTGCAGCCGGCCCTGGGCAGGGGTGAGCTGGTCCTGGGAGAGACCAGCTCTCCAGAGGTGAGCGTGCTCTGCTGGGGAGCGCTTCTGGGGGGGCTGCTCCTGGGACATGGGAGGTGCCTCGTGACGGGCCATGGCTTCCTCAGTGACAGGGTAAAGGTGAGCTTGTTATCATGAGCAGCCTGGAGCCAACAGTCTCGGCTGCCTTTATTTCCCCATAGGGCTCCAGGGGAAGGACAAGCTGCTCCGTGTGCCCCTAACACGACTTGGGGAGCTGGGGGTGGGACAGCCACCTGGCTGCAGCCGTGTCAGAACTGACCTTCCCCCAGCTCCTGGGGGAGCCCAGCAGGGTTTGGGGCAGGGATGGAAGCTGGGCCATTGCCTGTGAAACCCTTCCACCCTGGCCCACGGTGCCCATGCTGCTGGGTGGCCCCTTGTCCCCTCTGGGCAACGAGTCGCTGGCCCCGAGAGTGGCTCTCCGGAGAAAGCCAGAGCAGGGAAGAAGTGCTGCGAAGGCATCCAGCCCACGGAAGTAACCTGTGCTGTTCCTCCCTACAGAGCGTGGCAGGAGAAGAGATGGAGGAGGCCTCGTCCCTGCAGCAGGGTAGGCATGCGCTCGGCCATGGGGGTGGCCGGACCTCGTCTTGGTGTCCCCAGCTCTGCTGTGGTGGGATGGGGACAGTCGGGGAATGGGCATAGGAGTTCAGAAACAGCCAGCCCCTGAAATCCGTCTCTGAGCTGCTGTGCTTCACTGGAGAAGGGTGCCAGGGTGTCTCCTGGGCAGCAGGGAAGCAAACTCAGCACATCTCCCTGGTTTACTCACCCAGCAGCAGCTCTCCTTGCTGTAAGCTCTGCACGAGGAGAGCTGTCCGTGCCATGGGCTCTCCTGGTGTGGCTGAAGCAGGGATGGCTGCACCAGTGTGGTGCTGGTGAGACCATGGCTGCAGCGCTGGGTGTGCAGGATGTGCCCCATGTCTCTGTGTGGGTCTGTGGTGCTCAGTCAGCACCCAGAGGGCATGAGGACGGGGTGGGAGGGGAGCGCTGGGTGTGTTTTGGGGCACAAGCCTGTGTGTGAACAGATGGGGGTCCTTCAGCCCTGGGCCAGTCCGACCGGCTCTCCGAGAGCTCTGCAGGGGGAGCATGAGGAGCTTCCTTGCGTGGAAAGCTTCACCCCGTCCCCCTGGGCGCGTGCCCCGCAGAGCCGGTCTGGGGTCTGAGGGGCTGCG